ACACGGTTACGCGCGATATACCGCCCGTTCGCAGCATGAGTGTCCCACGCCAACGAGCCCAACACCGGTTTCACCCTGTAGTAGCTGCTGTGCCAGCCGACTAACCGACCAACCAGCCTGGGCGAAAATAATTTTAACTCTGTCACGAAGACCCCGTGTAAAACCCGCGTCCTACCTGCGGCCGTTCGTGTGGCTCACTGTGGCTGGTATCCCGCACGTTGGCTAAGTCGACCGCTTCTCTCACCCTGACACAATGAAGGCGGGATTATTAACGGAGCTAAGCGTTTCACGTTGCTTCGTTGTCCTCTTGAAGCTCCTGCTGGTGAGCCCCAGGAGACTGGACTGGCTTGAAAAAGTAGCGGAGATCTCTGAAAAGTCCATAGAAAAATACGCCTTTCCTTTTGAGACTTTCAATCAGACTTCTTGCGTGTCCATTGTTCCATGGAAGCCATTAATTTTCTTTTATCGAGTAGCAGTATTTTGCAGTAACCTTTGAAGTAAATAATTGGCTTAAAGTGTATTCTTTGACCGGACGCCTTCTTTTTCACGATTTATCATTTAATATTAGATATCTTGGCCGTCAAACTAGCTTAACACTCTGTTAAAGTCTGCTTGACATTAATGAAAATTAAACGTCTGTTATATATATATACTTTTATACTTTTGAAATATATGTCTAGTTAGAGTTTCGATATCAGGTTTAGTTACATTAAACTTTTCGGACCGTATATAAGAACCACCCGCAGCTCAAAAAAGATTCGATCAATCATAATTTTAACCATTTTTTTTCTAAATAGGTATCCTTAGTTTTATATGTAGGACTCGCGAGAGTGATATATTTCATACTTTTTATCTCAGAGCCGTTTCCGTGGAGAAATTCCCATTTTGCTGTTCCGAGCAGACCCCTTTAAGCTCTTTAAGAGCTACAAGAAATTTGTTTGTGTCCAATAGGAGGCGCCTGTGATAGAGTTCGAAAACAAGAGCGAGTCGATAGTAGCTGCTGTAGTTTCACTGGAAATCGCACGACGAAGAGTTACTGGGACAGCCGGTCTATACATATGCCATTGTCTCCCCTCTCTAGTCGTTTCTGAACCTGCGTTAAACTGTAGATCGTAGATTAATGGCTGGTAGACTACGTTGAAAATGGTGGAATGAAACCGTTTATAGAGCGTACTCCTATATTTTCAGGGAAAGCCGTACGCTTCGCCGCCGTTTTCGATCTTTATTACGACAGCTATCGGTCTATAAATTTGTGAGAGTACTCGACCACATAGTTTTACTTTATTAGACTAATACCAATTTTATGATTCTTCAAAAAACAGTTTCAACTTGTATATTATAGAAATTATAAAAAAAAATATATATATATGTATATACAAAAAAAGTGATATAAACTTTTATGGTATAACAGACAACAGACTTTGCGGATTCGTGATTAAATATGATACTAATGGGAGGTGATGATCAGACATCTGTATTTCATGCTGGAACACACAGCGAGAATTACGGACATTTCTCTTCGGGTAAAATTAGTTTCGCCGGTGCAATCTTCCTCCATTCCAGCAGGTGATCACATGTCCCGTCATATATGATGGAAGATTCATGGAGGTCCCATTGTTACATAGAGCTAGGAGAGGCTGGAGGCGTCGCGTCGGTTAAGTTCGTTCATCCCGCTTCCGCGCCAAGTAGGCGAAAGCGTACTTTTATCACTGTCGAGGAACGGAAGAATGTTCGTTCTTAAGTTCTACGTGCATAAGGTCTAGATTCTATGGCACGGATTATACGCTATTTGGGCCAACGTACACCCGCGCTGCTCGCGTGCTTCCGTAATTCCGGCTGTGTCACATTGGCGTCCGGAGAGGAGCAGCCGAATCTTTCCACCGAATTACGAAAAATGAGACAGAATACGCAGGACACCACAGATATCGCGTGGCAAATTCTACTTTTCTAACGCGTACCTTTTTTGCGCATGACACATCGTATTACGTAAAAGTTATGCAGCCGCTTATATAGAACAAATCGTGCTTTCTTCAACAGCCATGCGGTACTGTTTGTATTATTACGTAAACTTTTTCTTCGCCTTCCGCCTCTCGTGCTTTCAATGGGAAAATACTCCAATGAGAAAGGGAGAAATTGGTTACATGTAACAGAACACGGATCCACAGTCTCTCGTTTAGAAAATGCCACGTGAAACGACCGACGGGAATACGTTACCTGTCGGATGCCAAGCCGCGGCGCGACGGCGCGGCGGGCGGACGCGAAAGGATAAATCGAGTTCAGCTATGCGAAACTAATAATGCTCCGTGCCTGTCCGGCGCGGCGCGACGCGCCGCGGCGCCATTCCTCGCACAGCTACGTGCTTCCGTAAATGAACCCGATATATAACGCGGGGTATATAATATAAATTAGCGAAAATACGGTGTCCGCTCGTTCCTTCACGTCGCTCCGCAATTCAGCGCTGACTCATGCTCAACTCACACCGCACACCAATTGAACGCTGCGTATGATGACTCATGCACGCGTACGGTATCTCCTCCCTTCAGTATGACGAGTCAGGATATGTTCTCGAAAAAAAAAAAAATTGGAACATCCTATTGTGACACGTTCTAAACTCAGAACTTGATTCAGTTTTCTCCAAGTGTTCAATTTCCGATAGATAGATATGTATAGTAAAAGTACAACAATTAATCTCCCGGCTCAGAAAATATAATATTTATTCACAAACGCAATTGCATCCGACGCAGTAAGTTACTTTTTCTATTTACCATCTGTCCCTCAAACTAAATTCGCGGTTACTTTACGTTTTTCTATATTTTTCGAAGTAGGTTGAACTAGAGTCTCTAGAAATAAGAGTCTATGGCCAACGTTCCAGTTTGATAGAAAATCTACACATACCGTACACGTACACTTGCACAATTGTATAACACGTATTTGCTTTCCATTTTTTCACGCGCCAAGTTATCATCTAATTGATCATCACGTGATTAGTTATCAGTCGCCATTTTTCATCAAGTCAATAAAAAATAGTACAATATAGGGGGAACAGACTCTTACATGTAGGATTTCTAGGTTGAACCACGTAACAGCGTCACCAGCAGAATCAACACGATTGAGAACCCGGGACATCGACCGCGGAATTTTCATAAGTCCCGAGCGGGAAAAGTGTTGTTAATTAAAAGCGTAAAGTTCATCTTGGGTAAAGCACGTTGAACCCGACGAGACTTCCCTCGCATCGGAGTTACCGCATAACAATAAATTCGGCGCGGAAAGTTCGCGGCAGGGTTGGTCGGCTGCGCATAACGGGCGCTGCTCAAGGTAATAACTTGAGTTTTGGAATAACTGTTTGCTCGCAAATTTCTCCGCAAAGAGAGGAAACTTCCGGTACTTGTCCCGGCGAAGTATATGTACGCTGGAGCCTATTGTGAAATGAAAGAAACTTGCGACAGGTAATTATTGTTGTGTAATTAGAGATGATTCACCCTCTGCTCTCGAAATTTCATGCAAAAATTCTCTAAAGCTCGTAAGTGATTTATATATATATATATATATATATAGATTTTTTAAAACAAGTGTTTTTTATTATTTCTGAAAAATCGTTTGTATGTAAAATTCTCATAACTTTGTAATAATTTTAATTCTACATCGGCAATGTGAGATTTCTACCCCTTGCATCCCAGGTCGTCGAACTTCAGTTCAGATTTTTATATCGTTTCGTATTGTATAAAAACTTTTGCCGTAATGAAAGTCGAAAATTTCAGATTGTATTTTTTATAAATTTAAATTTGTCTACCAGAATTTATAATTAAATGTGTTTTCAAGGTTTTCAGGAGATAATTAAAATAATGTTTGTATCAATGTGAAAACAGCTAAGACTCGCTGTCGGAAGCATATGTTTCCAAAAATCTAGCATGATTGAAATTCAATTTAAATTTTAACGATTTAATTTTGAGATAAATGACGATGTATCTCGCAAAAATCTCTTTTGGATAATCTCCGATAATTTTGGGCACGCAAGAAGCCAACCGACTGCTCGTTCGAATATATTACAATCTCTGTGTGTTTCACCCCGTGAATACACTACTGACCCAACCCTTCCGCACGCGGTGCTCCAACCCCCTTTGAACACCGCGGCTCTGTATGAAGTATAACACTTTCGGTGTCGCGCACACGAGTGCAGGCGCCGCGGGTTGAGTGGCGCGTTCTCGTACGAGTACGACCCCGTTAGAGTAAAGGGAAGAGATTTTTCATTCGTGTACAGAGTTACTCGAAACTGCGGTGGTACACACATTTTCACGATGACCCGTTTAGATAACTGTAAAAGTGATCTTTCTCTACAGGGGACTTAAAACTAGCAGCGCGAATCATCACAATCCAAAAAATATGGATACAGATTTAACACCAACGTACCTACGGTGTTTATACATGTAATCCTCCAATCCTGTTGATATAAACACCAACATGGTGAGAGTTACAGAAATAAAAATATGATTTACTCTTTTGGAGATAACACTTCGCACTCGGAATTTCGTGTGAAGATTTCCATAAAAAACTCGAGCGCGATAATTTTATAATAATTTAAAAAAAAATACAAACGCCTTTTATTATTTCTGGAAATCGAAAAAGTCGTGCTTATGTAAAATTTTCACGAGATTGAAATGAGAATTTTTAATAATTTTTGTGATGAATGTCAATGAAAATAGTTGGTATAAGCTGTATTAATATTTTTTAGAGCATATTAAATACGTCAAATATCATTGTCTCTAGAATATTTTCTTTCCAAGAGAAATATCATTTCGATCTTTCCGAGAAGGAAAACGGGTATATCATTGGACACTTAACATGACACATGTGCAAGTAGATAGAGACATTCGTGAGAGACGTTGAAGAACACAAGGAGAGATGTCTCTCGCCTCTTGGCGTCTTAAAATGCGGGAAGAGACGTGACGTCTCATCCACGCCGCGCCGCATTTAATACCGCGAAATCCTCTGTATGCCCGCAGAATGGACATCCAGCTGCGAGACATGAATGCGCCGTGGCGATGACAAGCCTGATCTTGGAGAACGCCGACTTGAATCGACTCTTTCCGAAATGCCGGCCTAGGGGCGGTCCACCCCCGGCCCCGGGGGCCTCCACGCAGAGCAGCCAGCAGCCGCATGACAGCCCCTGCCAGACGGAGGCCGCCGCTATCACCACCACCGTCACCGCCGCGACCGCCGCAACAGCCGCAGCAGCCGCTGTCACCATCGCCTCTACGAACACGTCGACGAGCGCCTCCGCGATATCGGACGACATGATCGACCTCGAGCGCGACACCTCCGACAGGCGAGTTAAACCGATTTACCCAACTGAGGGGGGAGGTAAGAGAGAAGGCGAAGCGGGCTTACTCGATCGGATCGGATCGGATCGGATTAATCGACCTAACTCCGCAACGTACAAAAGCTGATGACGTTCAATCTAATATTACAGTTACCAGTAAACAGTCCAATATATGCGGAACATGTCTGAAATTGGCGTCGATATTTTATTAAGGTTCATTTTACGTAGCAGAGCGGAGCAGAAAATTTATATAAATTTATATAAACTGCGTTAAATACGCGCGGTATAATGTTATATACATTATACAATTGTAGTTTTTAACAGTACATTTAACAATAATTGTACCTTTTAACAGTACCCGTATCACTTTTTAATGAGCTCGTAACGAGCAGAATATTAATGATATGAAAGATTTTATTTCTGCACATATTTTTATTATGCAATTGTTCCACTTAACGTTTTATGCAAAATTATAGGATGGTTAATTATGTAATTGAGGAGCCAGATGGAGCGCAGGCGTGCGGAATGAAGATGAAAAGCTACATCGCGAAAGGAGTGTAAAACATAATTAGATTTATGGGCGAAGATACGTCGCACACTTTCGAGAGTAAATTTCTTCTATCAACTATTTAATATAATTTTAAATGTAATTTCAAATTTTTGGAGAAATAGGTCCGAGTCGCATTTAAATTCCATCGAACTCCTCAATTAATAATAAACGTGTGCTATCGATTCCCACCATAAAGCGATGGTCCGGGAACGATTCTTCTTTTTCTTTTTTTTTTTTTTTAATCGTACTCCCTTCACCGATTGCCGATTGTTAAGAGTGCCAAGTTACGTTCGTAGGTATAGGAAACGAGCGAATGGCAGAAAAAAATCAGGTTCGCTGTCCCGTAGGACGGCGAGCGTGGTGCCCGGTTTCACGGTCGAGGGCCAACTCAGCCAACTGCCGCACGCCACGAAGCCGCTTTCGTCGAGCTCCTCCTCGGCATCCGGACGCAGTGAGGACGCGCCACAATACGGTAGCCTGCCGGGTAGTGATCATCAGGGACAATCGCAGCAAGACGATAGCGGACCCGAGGGAAGCCCTGTGTACATTTTGACCTCGGCCAAGGGAGGCCCCAGCTATAAGCTTCGGGATTCGAGGTAATCAAGAATCACTTAACGTTCTGCAGAAATGTTATTAACTCGAAAAATACCGACAGTTCCGGAATATTTATTACCAACGGAAACGTTATACTTTAGCTACGTATTTGCCATACGTATATAGCAAATTGCCGCTATTTTAGTCGCCACACTTCGAAATACATAGAAAAATATTATCATAAAATATTTACGACTAATATCTTCCTCTAAAAATAGAACAAAAGATGAGAATACGAACTGTTAGCGAGTACTAAATACCTTCTTTTTCTGTATATTTGTATTATAGTTAATGGAATTTAAAAAATTAGCTAAATGGAATATGAGAGAATTGAGTTAATTTAGTATTCTGTTCAGTCTCTACACAGGGTGTCTTAATAATTATTATCTTAATAATTAAATATCTTTGAATTTATAAAGAGAAAAAGTGTAACGAAAATAGCACGAAAGGGGCAACATATGGCGGTAATAATTTTTTTTCAGGCAGAGACACTTTGGAGATTTCAAGGCAAAAACAGCTGATTTTCACAAAGATACGTTTACATATTGCAAATTGCACAATTTCTTTATATCAATTAGTTCGGCTCATCATTCAGTGCATAAAAGTGTTGAGGTACGATTGTTAAAAACATTAATACAAGTTTACGAGATATTTTATATTTCATGTTAAAATGTGCAAGAATAAGGTATAAAAACTCTTGTAAACACACTATTGATTTTTTCATACCTTCATCTGAATACTTTTTATAGCAAAATATTTAGAGATATCATATATTATTTTTAAAAAAATCATGTAATTTTGTTTAAAAAACGAAGATGCCCTTGAAATCTTCAAAGCGCCTCCACCTGGTCAAACATTATTATCGCAACATGATAGTCCCCTTCTGTGTAATTTTGATTACACAAATTTTCCTTTCGACTTCAATAAATTCCAAGATATTTAAGATAATAGTTATTATGAACTCTCTACACAATATATTATATAACATTGTACTATATAATGTACCTAAAAAATTTAGATGACGAAAATGAAACATGAATAGTAATGAAAAGTGCACTAAGGGTCACGGTTTCAATATTTAAAAAGGAAACGAGTTAAAATAGAAATTAAAGTTAATTGTGGGGCGTTTGAATTAGCAAGTTAAACGGTTAAATCGTGCGGAGGAATCGATAATGGGCGGCGGAAGCCGACGTGTGCGAACACTTGTGTACACGCAAAAGTGTGTTACGTGTCGTATCGCGACGTTAAATTCGAGCGTTTGCTCGCGATGTAACGTGTCCGTCGTCACGATGAAAGTCCATTTGACGTACGGTCTTTGTGTATCTACAGCGGACACGAGCGCCCGGTTTCGATAGCCGATACAGTTTCTACAGAGGTTTCCACAGAGCAGCGAGGATTCCAGCGCGCGTCATGTCCATGTATATTCAACGGGCCGTTAATTTCAAGCTTAATACCGACTATATACTCCCGCGGAAATGTCAGTCAAATATCAACCGCTCTTCCTCGCGCCTGCCGTTAATGTGTCGCGCGCGGGCTATTCGATGTATAGCAAACGAGTCAATATACCCGCGACAGTGTAATCTGCGTTCGGCAAATATTTTTCCCCTCTTTTCTTTTTCTTTTTTCCACGCGCGTGGTTTCTCGCGACGGAACGTCTTCGTCGGCAATAATATTCCGCGACTATCTCGCGATTTGTAGAGCATCAGTTTCTTATCAAAGAGTTAAACTTTAACCCTTTCAATGTTCAGTGAGACATGTTTCGACGTATAAAAAAAATCACATTTCTAGTAAATATTGAGTCATTAGAGTTGAGCAGGGCTTACTTTAAAAGGATTTCGCTTAAACTCTAATAAAAAAAAATATTAAAATATGACACAATATGAAAATTGATAAATATTATTTAAATTATTGTTCTAAAGCGGAACTATCATCCCAAAGGTGCGCATAGTTAAATAAAGAAACTTTAATATCTTTATGAATGAAACAAGTTGTGAGGAATTTCCGACGTGGTATCGGTTTGTCATTACTAATCGATTGGCACTCGAAACGCGACTCGCTTATCGACAATGATAATCCGTATATGTAGATAGACGTCCGAGTACCTTTTATTTTCCGATATTTCCGTCGTTCCGTATTTCGATCCGTATTTGCTCGGGCATAATCGGCGAACGCGGATACCCGATAATTTCAAATTATTCCGTGTCCATTATTGGTGAAACTTCACGCGCGCAACATACGATCGGAATTACCCGATATATCCGACGGATTTTTAAATCTAAACTTTTAGCTCATATCCCGCTGAACATCCGATATATATGCACCTCAGCGATAGAGTTCGACTTATCTTCTTTTTAAATGTTCTGAGAAATTCACTGTTGCACACAGAGCAATATCATTCTATTTCTGAGAAAAATGATTACTCAATTTACTTTCTTCCTTGTAAGTAACGATTATCTTGAGAGCAAAGAATATTTTCTTTATACGATAACAACCTTAAAATATACTTATTACAAATTTTAAAAAATTTATTAATATCCTACTAAAAAAAGAATTTATTTTTTTTTTAAGCATGTTATAAAATTGATTGAAGAAGAGATTTAACAAACTATATATAACCAGAACATTACATCAATATCATATATATATATATATATATATAATTTCAAGTGTAATATATAACACATTTATGTATCTATACATAATAATTGTACTATTGAGTAGGAAATTGTAGCATTGATATAAAATGTTGCTATGTAAACATATAGGGTGGGAGAGAGTTTGGGGATTCAAAAATATCCTCCAAAATTTGTGATTAAAAATTATGATTAACAAAACTTAATATTTTTTCATTTAAAATCAGGGGAGTGAGGAGATAAAAGCTTTAAAATATCCAAAAACAGTAATTTATTGACGCAAAAAATTACTACTTATGCGATAACAAATTGATAAAAACTCCTTCCCTTCCCCTGAAAAAAATCCTGAATACACTTATAAATACTCAACAACAAAAAACTCCAAAAAGCAGGGCGAATGAGAGTCAGCATGGTAATTAATTAGTAAAAATAGAATCTTTATTCCAAAAAATATTTTTTGGAATAAAGATTCTATTTTTGGATTGACGATTTAAGATTGCATATTAATTATTACGCCGACTCTCATTCGCCCTGCTTTTTGGAGTTTTTTGTTGTTGAATTTGGGAGAGTCCATAAGAAGATTACATTATTATCGTTATAAATACTCACTGTCAGTTTATGTTCAGCGGGAGGGAGTCTGTTCATGGCTCGGGGCCCGCGGTCGGTCTTGATCCGTCATTGATTCTTCCCGACGTTGGTCTGTAAACTGTAAATCGTCGAGGAGATAAGTACCGAGTTGTTCCAAGTATCAACTGGTCCAAGGCGACGGGAGCGCATCCAAATGGGCGCCACGGGAGTTACGGGGCTTAAAAGTCGCGCCCGTTTTCTTTCGTACGTACACTGGTACACACGTTTCCTCGTGAACACTTTGTCGTCGTGATCTCCGCGCCAGCGGATCCGATGAACATTTTTGAATAAAGCATTCCAGGTGCCGACAGGGCCGTGTATTACTCCTAAGACTGATCAATTCAATTGTGCGTGAGGCCGGAATCGGTCCGACCGAGCGCGTCGAATTAAATGTCGTGTAATCGTGGAATGCAAAACACGGAGTGCTCCACGCGTCAACTTTGGGGTTAACTCTCTCTCTCGCCTGTCAGGTCGGTCAGGTGTTGCCTGATCTGACGTCGAGTTTCGGGAATTCACCACTTGTAACCGTCCACGTGCACAATTTGACGATGCAACGGAGAGAATGTCGCTTATCGATACAGTATAGTACGTTGTGCAAATATTGCCCTCGTCGAATCTGACGTCGAGATTTATAATAACGCTCCGAATTTAATGATGATTTTATAAAAATGAACTGCTGCTGTAGAATATTTCGTTCGTGCATCCGTGAGTCATCTGTTTCGAAAGCTGCTCTCGGTTGAATGTTGAAAATATATTGAGTTCGGTGGAAAAAAGTTACAGAAACGAACCTGAGCCCTACCGGAGTATTAATTTTATGCATGTGAACGTCGACAACTTTGACGAGCATTAAGTTCGAGTAAGATAAGATGAAAATGACCAACGTATAATTTAGGACTGTTTCACAGTCATATAAATCGTCATGAGTATATGTAATAGTTCTTGTATTGTCCTGCAGAATTATAGAAATCGCTGGTGGCCGAGAGGTATTCTCACAGAGCCGAGGGAAGGTGGCAGCTAGAAAGTCGCGATTTCTGGCTGCGTCAAATTCCATAAATAACGAGGATAATATTCAAACTGATAATAAATTGTCTGTTAAGAAGAATAATAAGTCTCCTAACTCGCAGACCATATGGGAGCTACGAAGTCGGTAATTAAATTTGTATTTCATCTGTGGTACAAAGATCCTATTGTCTATAACGTGTCCTATTGTCTCTTGTGTTCTATAAATTATTATAACTTTTTTCAGATGCGGTGAAACCAGAAAGCAACGTGCAAATCGAGAAGTGACGGAGACCGTGTTTGCCTCCGAGGTACATTCGGTGCGACGTAACGCTACGAAATCCATTCTCGATTACGACTCTCCTAAAAGCAACCGCAGCAATCGCATAATTAATTACGATTCAATCTTGAATAGCAATAATGTAGAATATACCGTACCAAAAAGTATTACCGATCTGGACTATGGCTTACCAAAGAGCTGCGTAGATTATCAATCGAATCACAACACCCCTGCGAGAAGTATGGCTATTGTCAGCGACGGTGAAGTTGTGGTATTCGACGATATCGATGACAATTGGCAGGGGTTGCGACTGGATTTGGCGTCGAGCAACACAAATCAAGTTACGACGACGAATCTAGACTTGGAGACAGACGATTCGCAAAGAGGTCGTATTGCACCGGAACCACCGAGTTCCAGTGTTGGAAGTACTCCTAGTCCTACGACGGCATATCATCGCAATACTTCAGAATTTTTCAAAGTAATATGCATAACAGACACGTGCGTTGCTTAATTGCAAAGAACTTTTCACCAATTTTTAACTTTTGTAGGTTGTTACACCAGCGAGTGATTGCGAAGCAGATTCTCCTTCTCCAGAACGTAATCATAAGGTTGCGAGAGTAATTGGTGAATTACCAATCGCTCAGTATTCTGGCAGCCCGAGACGTTATGGAGTTCGTGAAAATACACAACTTCCTAGCTTATTATCATCACCTTCAATGTATATGACACCGAGGCCTGGTTTCCCTCAAAGAGTATTGCCAACAACACCAAATCACAATGAGGTAAAAAGATATATATCATTTATGGAATATTATATTGTTGAATGGCTTAATAGTCTCTAATACTTAATCAATGTATTTTACATTCCAAGAAGGAAGATACTTCTGCAGAAATCGTAGTAGACAAGACTGTGATAGAAAATATTAGCACTGAAGATCAGCCTATACATCCTTCATCTCCATCACCAAAGGTCGAAGAGGAAGAGGAAGATTCTTTAAAGCCATCGACTTTGCCTGCTGATAATATAAGCAGTCTTGTCTCACCGGGAGGTAGCACCTTCGACTATTTATATGAATTTTCAGAGACACGGAAAGTGTTAGAAGAATTCTTCAAATGTCCAGCGCCGACGAAAGAAAAGGAAAACAATATAGAATCCTTTCCTTTCCAGGTAAGTCTTTGCTGAAACATAAAAGAATTTATAGATATTTGTTTAGGAGATATTTCGTTCTTTTCAATGAGATCTATAAAATGTATGTCAAATAAATATATATACATGAAAGTTCAGAATTAGAAAAATTCATTAGGTAGTGATGTTAAAAAAAAAATCCAAGCAGATATTCGACCCAAGAAGATATATGCATGCATAATGAACAAACTAAAAGTTTGTAAATTGTAATTAAAAAATTACTTTTTGTTGTAGGATCTTGATTATGAATTAAGAAGGCAAGGTGGAAGTGCATATGTTGGTCAACGATTAGCCAGTGGTCCACCCGCAACAGAAGAGGTTATGGTACATGAGTCTCCTAAAAAGCAACGGGCAGAATTTCCGCAAAATGTAAGTATGACAATATACAAAGTAAAAAACATTATTTTGATAATTTTTTTTGTATAGCATTAATTTTGTTTCCCTGTGTATTAGTTGAGTTTATATAAAATTAATGTTTATTTATGTATTATAAAGTTAGATACAATAAACAAAAATACTTTTAACGCAAATATTATGTTTTCAACAATTCTAAAGTATTAATTATTAATGTTTGGAAATTATATTGCTTCCAGTAGTCATATAGATTCTAAATATAAATCTATATATTTATAGATACAGTTTTTAAAGTTACACCGTGTAGCTGTTTGAAAAATTTTTCCACTTTAAAACGGTAATTACGGTATTATGAAGTAAATATTTACATTTGGCTTTTTGTGTTCTTTAGACAGGTGAACATGAAAACAACTTTTTGGACCTCTCAGTAGGTACTGGCAGCAGTGAAGATCTTGGAGAAACTGAGGTTGGCTTGCAAGTGGGACACTCGCGTAATTTTACACTAAGCCCCGAGACAACCGACTGTGACAGTAATTGCGGCGACTTGGACAGCGAGGTATCCCTCATGATGATGGATAATGAATTGATGCCAGCAAGTGGCCTTCTCGGATCGGTCGGCGATTTGGGGAATAATTCGGATTCCCTGAGAATATACACTAGTATGCCGGTATTAGAAGACGGACTGTCTAGTGGACACGCGAGTGATACTGACAACAATAATCCTACTGTGATGCTCATGAAACGGCAAATAAACGAGATAGAGAAAGAGATCATACAGAGAACTCGTAACGACATGTTAGGTACGAATGAGAATGACTCTGGAAAAGACGTTAGTCTAAATGTAACAAAGGATATTTTACACACGTTGAAGACTACATCTCCTGATCTATTTGTCGCGAAGAAGGAAAATTCGTACGACACGAACGAGCTCCAACTCGATGGATTGGATCCACTGGGTACGCCGCCGCCTCCGGCACCTCAAGGACGACAAAGTGTATCCTTAGAAGTAAATTGTGGAGAGGTGGAGGCAGCCATCAAAGATATTAGAATGGCTCTACAAAGGACTAAAGCTCTACCTGTAAAATCACCATCGGAAGAACCGCCGGAACCAAGCGTTAGTCCGATATGGATACCAAGGTATTTTACGTTTCGTTTTATGCGGCTAAGGGTATTCCAATTGTTAAAATTTGTTCATTATTTTGCCTTGGTACTTTTTTTACTTACCACTATGAAAGTTCTCCTTTTACGACATCGAATATACGTTTGGGATACCCTTTGGGATACCTCTGTGTTGCGTATAAACGCATCTAACTAAGATGCAGTATAATGGATGGCAGGCGGAGAGTCTGTATGGAAAGCAATAGCGAAGAATCTGATGCGCGTCGTATAGGTGACGAAGCTGATATGGAAATTGAGGAATGTCCAGACGAAGAGGAAGCGGATACCGATCTTGAAACAGATCGATTGCTCGGACAACAAAGAACGGACGATCAAGGATTTTACGACGATAAGGTGAGCATATACTTGATGCTTAATTGTCCGCTCCATCGTATTATTCTTATTAATCATTGTTTAGTAATATGTTTCTTAAATAAGAATAATTAGACTAAATTAAATAAGTTACAACACTTGTATTATCAATATATCATACATACTCTATTCACAATTCACAACTTCCTACTAGGTAATATTGAGACGGTGCTAATGCGTTTAAATTCAAGAAAAAAAAAAGGATACGAATAATCTACATTTTCCTCGTATTTTGTGCTATTCGATGGTATCGGTGTTCTACTAATATCGTCTTGGTGTTATGCAGGGGTGGAGGAAGCCTAAGACTAGGACTATGTTACCACCAATGAATGCGAAAGTCGCTACTCCAAAACAAACCCCTCCTAAATCTTTGAGTGTCGCCCCGATAGAAACGCTAGCGCCTTCCGAGCCCATACCCTCGACGTCTGCCTCGATCTCCCCTCCTCTTGTAGTGTCTGTTATACAATCGTCGTCTTCTAACGAGTGCGAAGTAGCCACTCCCGCGCAACCTACATCGAGTCCGCAGAAGACCCCAGTCAAAAACTCCCCCTCATCCCCTCAGAGCCTCAAGGAATCCAACAACAAGGTGAAAAAGGTGCCCTTTCAAATGCTACCACGGAGTCTGTTTTATTATTAGTGACTATAGATATCTATATTTCTAGTGAGCTTGCGCGAAATAAAATAGCACACATTGGTGCATGATAGTACTATCCTTTTGTTGCTAAACGAAATACGTCCTAATCAGCTTAAATATATAATTTATGTTATCTGTTAATTCAAATGCATTTTCTAATAATAACATAGATATTTGATAATTATTGACACGTTATTTATAATAGTTATTGTATAAATTTTATAAAGATTTTCAAGATATTTTTGTTTTACTAGAAAAATAAAATAGTTTTTGTTATATAATTAAGAAATATTTGATAAAAATGTTTAAGCTGATTTTTCTAAAAAAGAAAAGGTACTTTTTTTTATCTTATTGCTTTAGAGTTTTCCTTTATAGCTTCCGCTTATTATGCTTATTTTAATTTGTAACGGAAATATTATTAACGTTATATTTATAAAAACATCGCATATATACATATATATATATATACATACATATATATATGTATATAAGTGCAATGATAATGAAATGCTTTATAATAGAATGATTTTTAATTATATATGCTTCAAGGGAAGAATCTAGAGATTGAAACAAGAAAAAAGTTATATAAACGTAGTCGTTTAAACTTTGTTTATATACATATATGTATATATTATATGACATATTTTCTGGTTTAAACTCTAAATTTATATCTTGAAAATTAATATATAATTAAGAATAAACTCATTTTTTCTGTGCTTTATAAATATAATTGTTGCTTTACAAAAAGAAGGGATTATCAAATTACCGTAGCATTTAATATCTATCTACTATTACTGTACTATTACTATTATTATTATTACTATGTTACTATAATTGTTTCTAGACGTAAATAGGGATATGTTAATGTTTATTAGCTTTCTTACATGGCAGTTGCTGCATGGTTAGCACATTCTACAGCTTAAGTGAGATTACATATATCATATTTACAAGATTTAATTGCGAGCGTATTCGTCAAAGTTTTATCTGTGCTATCATGCAAAATGCATCGTCTGTTCTATTTTGCAGGATAAGGAGGGAAAGAAAAAGAGCAGAAACAAAGAAGGTACGGTTGCATTTTTATCAATATAATTGTTTTTTGTATTTTCTTAGTCATTTTATTTATTACTATTATAATGCTAATATAATATTTCTTTTTCTATTGCTTGCTCGGATATATAAATTCGACATCTGCTTCTAATCATTGTTTGATGGTAGGTACTCCTTATATGCATATACATGCATATAGATATTTACACATATATGCGTGTGTGTCTATACATACATATACAGTAGAATTTATCTACATTCTCTATTTTAAGTTTAGAAATGTTGCAAATACGAATTCGTAACTGACTCTTATCCATGTCACGGCGTCATATCAGTTCGGATAATAAGAGCTTAACTTCAGTTTTCAGAACGTTAGTTCCTATCATCGAAATAACTAATAAGTAATAGATAGAGAGGACAGTCAGTGAGCCTTTGTTATTCGAACCGGTCGGTTATCGAAATTGTCTAGTTCTTCGACATGTTCGGATACGCGGAATTTTATTTTGACTATGTATATATGCACACACACCCACATACACACATATAAAATTATGTAACAGTTAGAGTAATTGTGTAATTAGAATACATATTGTTATACTATTACTGCAATTATTAGAAATAATTATAATTCAAAATTAATATTATTTGATACAATATTACTTGTCGCTTTTATAGTATTTCTTGATAATCCAATGTTTTTATCTTATTATCATATGTAACAGTGCTTTAATACGCGTGATATGTTTTATCAAGATGTATCTCTAAATTTATTATGTGTACCTATAGATATGTATCACGTTCAGAGATTTGAGATGTTCTGATATTTACATTTCTCTATTTGTATTCCTCGATAAAGTCACCAATTATATTGATAAGCGGTGTATTGAAGAGTTTCACAAGTATCATAATTTTTCAATGTGATGTGGTTGTGCATTTTGAACGTGTACAACGTTTGTCGTGCTTATACGTATCGTAAAAATTAAATAAATTTAATCAAAAATACATAAATTAAATTAAATATATATGTAAATTAAATAAAATTAATTAAATCCGATATAATTTCTATATTAATAATAATAAAAATGAAAAAAAGTAGTTGATGTAGTCGTGAGAATAGCAAGATTATAAAAATTTTATAATTTTATTGAATCTCATAAAATTATATTTTTATGCAATATGAAGATATTAACTGAAAATCCAAACAAAATAGGACAAGAGGATCCATTATTGGATTCTATGATCATGTCGTCTGTTAGACTGCCTCTATGTTCTTCCAAGCACTTAGCCGCTTTTGGCACACTACTTCATGATACACGTGGGCTCAAAAATCCTAAATGGTACGTGTCTGTGCCTCTTTCAGACTTGTTGGATGATCCATCAGTGTTGATCGAAGGTGTCCTGTTCCGCGCGAGGTACTTAGGATCCACGCAATTAGTATGCGAAGGTCAACCGACGAAGTCGACCCGCATGTGTCAAGCAGAGGAAGCAGTTTCCAGAATAAAGGTACATATGTATATGAAACATTTCTTTTTATTTTTATCTCAGAATTGAGATATATTCCTCTTGAACTGGTATTATACAAACGTCAATTGCGAAAAATGTGTATATACGATTATATACAACTATGTGTATATAAAAGCACAATTTTTATTTATATGTATATATACATATACATATATATATATATATATATATGTATATGTATATGTATAATACATATCTCATATACAAACGGAACGAGTATATGAGGACTTTTTATACAGATTTTTTATATAGATTTTTTTATAAAGAATTTTGCGAAGCGTTAAAAAAATCAATATAATCAAATATGGAATACATAAATCGTTAAATGCAATGTAATTTATTTAAAAGCCACATGTATTATTTTCTTAGAATGTTTGTTTTTAAAAGCAGTAACTACTAATTAAATAAAAATATCGCGATTTATTTGATAGATAATGCATCCACATGATATGTTGTGTTATATTTAGATCAGTAGCACTAAGTTTGGAAAACACATTATATAGATCAAAACAAATACAGTTAGAGTCCATTCGTCGACAAAATGTTTCAATTGTTAATTTTTCAATAATGTTCTATTACAACGAAGATCGAAAACGTTAGAAAATCTATTAGAGAGTATAAAATCGTTTCAGGGACTATTAGAATTAAACTATGAACAATAATAACGAAATTAGCAGCATGCTCTGAATGCTTTATACTATTTTAATTTGCTACTTAAATTGTAGTGAACAACAGTGCAATATTCTCATCTGCAATAATGTATATTTCATTGTTAAAGTTTTTAACTTTTTGAGGATTTTCAAAATTGCAATTTTTTCTTGGTGCAATCACGAAATATAATCTCTGTAAAATATTGCAAATAACATGTATAATGTTTACAAGGGATTTTCAGATTAGCGCCTCTTTACCAAGTATAAAATATTTTAGTGTTATATATTATTTTGAAACCATTAATTTACCTCAAATGGTTAAAATGCTGAAATCTTAAGTAAATAAGTTAAACCTGAGAGTTTTCTGTAGGAAAGAGTACTGTTCAAATTGTGTCTTAAGACTCGTTTGTACCTCAATTCTATGCATATATGACAAATATGTTGCAAAAGGACCATAGATCACCAAAATACTCTCTTTAAGTAAATAGTACAGATACCTACCATATTTCTGTTTACATAGTCTATATTTTTATTGGTATATTAATAGTAAGCGACGATATTTCTTTTTTAATTAGTTTTTATAGTTTACGATACTTATCAATCTTTTAAGGAAACTGTCAATATTAAGCTGATAAAACAGTAAATTCTTTCCTCCTACTCTTAGGTTCTGCTCATGAGTAATCAAATGTCAGCATTTAGATAAGATAGACCTCGTCTCTGTTATCTTGTAATAATTGATTAATAATTTTTATTAGCGGTTTTTTGCCGTCGTCTGAGACGACTCTCCTCCATAGAAGTATCTAAATGCTGATTCTGTCTACCTATCTAATAATTAATCTAAATATAACTGTGAACTGGCCGTTGTGCAAAGAGGCCTGAATGTTTCAGTGTAGCGACCCCCTTCCTCACATCACCAACACCACCACCACCTGACCACCGAACACTGTCATCTTCTCAGTGTAACTTTGATGTGATTTCTGTATGTCTGTCAGTCTTTGTTTTTTTTTCTTTGCGAATATTTAGTTTATATATCTGTTGTCCGCTTGCTATGTCCGCTTTCCTGTAGATTCTTGATCAACTTTACGCACAAAAAATCCATATACTCGCGGGAGATATTTATCTACAAAAATCCAGCAAATTATTATACAACTGATTAGTAGAAAGGAAGAAAACTGGGAACGCGAGAAACAATCTAGGTGCAATGTAACAGACGGCTCTGTTTGAGATAAATTTTAGGGAAATTACAAGAAATTTCATAGAATGTTCATCGTAACTTCAAGCTTTAAAGAGATATGATTATGTCGAATCGATAGCCCGATGATACTACGATATTCTGACAGTATCCTACAAGATTGAGCGTAATTAGTTATTTATATACATATTCGTTCATTCAATTTGATTTTTCAAAATATAGATTGCTAAATTTTTTTTATGATATATTATTGTCGCATGAAATGAGATCTTATATAGTTAAGTAGACCCGGATTGCAGTTCTTTTTTTGTCGCTGCAAGAATATTTTAGTTGCATACTATTCGGGAATCAAGATAGAAATTATATTTTTATGGAATATCCATTGTGAAAATCTATTATGAAAATATTCTAGTTTATTTAAAAAAATGATGATATTAAGATTTACAGGAATTATAATATTTTAATTAATTCTTTGAATAGTGTACGCATGATAATTTGTTTAATTGCAAGGCTGCTAAGCTATGTTCTAATATAGACAGTGTAAATAATGACAGAACATTAAGGATGAAGACATTCTTAGTTTGTTAAAATTTTTTGGCGATTATAATATCTAATTAAATTACGTTACATGTCGATATAGTTTTTTAATAAAGCCGTATTAAAACTCGTGCTTATTTCATACTTTTAAATAACGCCAACAAAAGAACTTTACTCATGCTTGCATCTTTATATTTGTTTGAAAAGATACTTTGAATCGAAATTAATTATAGTTACGGAGAATAATAATTCTATGTGTGATCAACTGCTTGTGTTTCTCTTTGATTGTTCATTTTCAAGATGACAAAATAAGACAAATTGATTGATTGAAAAAACTTGAATGCTCATCGCATTAACAGAGCCTTACCGTGCTTCGAGTTCTGAGTTGCTAGACACCTAGAGACGCAGCATCGCTATATTAATACGTTCTTGAGTTACAATTGCAACGAATCCGCGTGTGCTTGTCCGTTGAATTTACCATTTTTGTAACATAACGCTTGCACGTTGCACAGCTTCCAGACACCATGAGCTTGTCCGAGAGCAAAATTGCATAATAAAGGTCGCATCGTGTGCAGAAGTGTATGCTACCGGACTAATGCATTTATATGTGTGAATGACTCGATCCGGCATACGATAGAAGACACAAGCATGACACTGTGCATAAGAGAAAAGTAAAGCCGTTGATATAGCAACTCAAGAACTCATGAACATTGGCTCTTTTGCCTCTCGTTCTGTCGGTGGTGCGTGGCAATGTGACTAGCAGAGCCTTTGTTTGTTTGTTTGTTTGGCGCGTACATAACGGAAGGATGATGGGCCAGTGCCGATGCAGGCAACACTCTTAAACTATGGGGGGCAGCATGGGTATGGTCGCTGCAGCATTGCCTCGCAAGGAAGCCTAGAGGAGGACGAGTGCGACTCGAGCGAAGAACTTATAGGAAGCGCTTCTGGTGGGGGCCAGTCCGAGTCACAAGCGCTTGGGGCCCAGCCGAAACTGGCCCCGATCAGTGGCTGCTTGGGGCCCACAACCGTTTTCAGACTACAGTTTCTTGGGTCGGTGGAGGTGGAAGAGGAAGGGGGACGTAAACGGCGTAAGCGCCTTAAGAACCACATGGTGGAGGAGGCTGTGACAAAAATAAAGGTCCGCCCTCATTGCCCTTCTTCCCAGTCAACCCTCTTCGCTGTTAAATCCGATCGACTGCCCTTTGACTCTTACAAGAGCAGTCGTTCGACCGTTTCATCCCCCTCTATTGATTTATATAATACCTATAAGGGTCGAATCTTCTTACGGCCATTTTATCTTACAACTTGAACCCTTTTACGAATTTTATTTTATTCAGCCACAAAACCCACAGCAATTTCCCATAATGCACTTTTCAGTTACGAAACTCGTATTACCTACGTATAGTGCACATTTTTCATAAATCATAGCGACGAGTCTCTTGTAAGTTAAATGTTGCGTCAAAGTTAGGCGACTTTTAACTCTCAAACTCTCAGGTTTGTGATAGCGCCGTTAATGATTATACTCAACTTTATACAGTTTACATTATCTTGCATTATTTAATTATTTTACTAGCAGTTAAGCGTTGTATATGTTTAAAACACTAATATTATACATATATATATATTTATGACTAATTACTTGTTTATTTCTACTTTGTTATACATGCTGCTTCCTTGTGATAGGCGCTGGTACGTATATTCTATGTGTGAAATACATATATATAATGTAGAAATCCGTAATAATGTAATAGTTTTCTAAAAAGGATGTGTATGTGTGTTGTATTTATTCAGGCACCGGATGGTGATTCTCAGCCAAGCACGGAGGTAGATCTGTTTATCTCAACGGAGAAGATCATGGTTCTTAACACTGATCTGAAGGAGATCATGATGGATCATGCGTTACGTACGATTTCATACATAGCGGATATCGGTGATCTGGTAGTGCTAATGGCACGGCGACGTTTCGTGCCGCACGAAATGGAAGAAGTACCAAAAATCAATCGAACTCCAAAGATGATATGTCACGTTTTTGAAAGTGAGGAGGCTCAATTTATAGCACAAAGTATTGGACAAGCATTCCAAGTAGCTTACATGGAGTTCCTAAAAGCAAATGGGATAGAGGATCATAGCTTTGTTAAGGAAATGGATTATCAAGAGGTGCTCAATTCGCAGGAGATATTCGGCGACGAGCTGCAGATGTTCGCAAAGAAGGAGATGCAGAAAGAGGTAATCTTTGAAATATGATTGTATTACCCTTTCCATTTTAATCCGAAAGGAATACGGTCTACGATACATAGCGGTCCAGAGAAGCTGTACAAGAAAGATACTTTCTTGTCGATCAGCAGCGAACTTGTTGGAAGTATCAATTTCTCGTAAATTTTCAAAATTGAATTAATTTCTCCAACTTCCAAGAGATGTAAAATGTTAATTATCGCGACCGACTTAAAGAAAATTTCGTAATTGTATTAGAGTAAAGAATATCTCTGCTTTGCAGGTAGTGGTACCGAAAGCAAAGGGAGAGATCCTCGGTGTTGTGATCGTTGAGTCCGGATGGGGCTCGATGCTGCCAACCGTAGTCATAGCAAATTTGGCACCGGCCGGTGCCGCCGCACGTTGCGGTCAACTTAACATCGGCGATCAGATAATAGCAATTAACGGCGTATCGTTAGTCGGCTTGCCTTTGTCCACGTGTCAGACTTACATAAAAAATTCAAAGAATCAAACGGTCGTCAAGCTAACTGTCGTGCCGTGTGCACCTGTAGTCGAAGTGAAAATCAAGAGACCCGACACGAAATATCAGTTAGGATTTAGTGTACAGAACGGAGTGATATGTAGTCTATTGAGAGGTGGTATCGCCGAGCGGGGCGGAGTACGAGTGGGCCATAGGATAATTGAAATCAATAATCAGAGTGTTGTTGCTGTACCGCACGAAAAGATTGTTAATCTTCTGGCTACGTCAGTGGGAGAGGTATGTAAGCGCGTAAAACTAAAATATGGCTTTTAATGTGTGTTTTTTATTTGAAAGAACAATATTAGAAAGTATGAAATGTATAAGAATAAAAGGACTTTTTTTTTCTCTAGATTTTGATGAAAACGATGCCCACGTCGATGTTTAGGCTGTTGACCGGCCAGGAGTCTCCGGTGTACATATAAAAAGCGTTCAGTTGCCTGGCTGATGCGTAGTGAACAGACAATACATCCACCATCCACTACCATACTATCCGCTACCTTTATTGTACAGGTTATTCTATGCAAATCGCTTTGTGTTTTCGATTCTTATGGAACGATTCGATACATTCACCAGCTCCTGCTTAGTAAACGAGACCTACATAGGTACGTCGCAGAAACGTTACTAAATATCTACTCAAGCATAATTTATATGATTATCAATTATTGTAAGAGATATACGTATAGTACTTATCAATGAGATTCTCTATAACACGTATGTTCCCTGAAATCTTGCGAGCTATTGTTTCAATAACGGTCAGTGCATTACGTCAATGCTATTGATTTATCGTCTAGCGAAACGATAGAGGAAAAAAATATTGATTTTCAGTACACAACAAGTGGATGTTATAGAGAATCGCATTATTCGCGCCAAGAAAGATAGGTGATGCAAATGAGGCAGTTGCACATGATTATAAATAGCACAAAGCTCTTTACCAACAGCTGGAGCAGGGCTGGAACTGTATATTACGTAGTTTAATGACGTAGTAATATTTATAAAAAGGATCTCCCTCTATCTCTCATGGAGACACTTTAAGCTAAAGCGTTTATTTAATCTTTTTTATCTTTAAGGCCGGCGAATACTTGCGGCGCGATGCCCGAGTATATTAATTTGTACTAAAATTATTATCTACCGTAGTAACTTCGGACGCGTAAATCTCGTGATAAATAACGCCATAGTAATTATATAGAAGAGCACAGTAACGTATTTTATACGTATTCTATACGTATTCTATACGAGAGGAATTTTTTAAACGAGTAAATTATAATACGTTTTGCAATACATTTAGCTGATTTTCGGTAAAAGATATAATAAATTGCGTATCATTGAATACATGTTATTGGACAAAAATGTTGATTCAACATCATGTATGTTTACATATCGCTTTATCGATGCCTATATTCTGTGGTATAATACTCATTTGTATCAAAGATGAAATTGTAATGCAGCACGTTTACAGCGCGATATTATTGTTCAGAGGGACGTTTAAAAATCCTTCACATTATGCTTCATAAACGACTATCTAAATTGTGGGTAAACTTTAAATATTTATTAGGAAATTGTGCACTTACGGATATCGTAATATTTGGAGCAAACAAACACTTAAAACCTTTTTTTATTTCCTATTTTCTCACCAGTTATCGCTTGTAAAAAAAAATAGGCAATCAAAAAAAGTTTTAAGTTTTATTTGCTTCAAACATTATGATATACGAAAGTGCACAATTTCCTAATAAATATTTAAAATTAGTATTAGTTTTTTTTTTAAATATGCGCGCGTATGTGTGTGTATGAGGTGTGCGTGTGAGATTTAATTCTTATTTCTTGTGGATGATAATCAACTGTAAGCTTGCAAAAGTCATCTTGTTCCCAGTATGTTACATTAATCATTTGCTTTTTCGATCACATGTTGATAAATGTTGAGAAATGGCTGTGTATTTAAGAGTGTATCTAGATTTTATAGACATAAGATCGCACCCGATGTAGGCACTTTAGAGTAGATGCCTTTAAACTTTTTTCAACACTTTATGTCCTCTAGATCTCTCTTGATATTTTATAAATTCCCTACTTATTTTAATAGAGATTCAATATCTTCATCGAATTCTTAACTTTAATTATAAATCTTTAACTTAAAATATATATATTTTTTTTCATAGTACGAGTTGTTCAAAGTATCATGCCAATTTTTTAAATAGTTATCGATTAGATATCTTCACATATTTCGGAATTTTCTCACGCCATTCCAAAATAATTTAGAAAATAATATTTTTAAGTGCTCTCATTTTATTTTGCAGATTTCTGTAAAAGAGTGGTAAAAACACTTGAAAACCTTTCTCTCGATCTGTTCCTCTATCAATCTACTTTATTGATCTGATTTTATAGAATAAAGTTCTTTTTAATTCAATTCTCCGCGTCCGTACAAATTTAGTTCATAAAGATAGTCCTGATAATTAATCGTAAAAAGGTTTTTAGACGGCACCTTATCAGCTTGCAGTAAGTCTTCACTCACCATGTATAATACTTACATGTAAAATATGTAAATTGTATTCGACTTAATGTGGCTTCACTGCATATAGGCATACATAATGAGACATCTAGCTTTTCCCAACTCTTGTAACTCTTCTTGTCGATGGAAAGTTTCTTCTAAAATATAACAGACTGACTCTCACTTCTATGTATAACCCAATAAGATAAAAATTATTGATTCCAGAGAAATGTAACTCTGGAGAAATGTTACAGTCGTTCTGCTAAAAAAAAAGGGAAGAAAGCGTCTCTTCTATATAAATACTATATGCCATAATAATCTAAGTTTTATCTATTTTTGCTGAAGATTTCTCACCTTTGAGCTATTCTGCTTTAAATATCAAGAAGTGTGCGATAACAAACTTTGAGATTCCTGATGTCTGATAAAATTTCAATGCCAAAGTACATTAATTAGTGAGGCGTAACAACGGGACAGCGCATAATTTTCGACGAACTGAAAATTATTCAGATTTTATCAGAGAATGTGTAATTATTTAAGGAATGACGTATCCTAATTTGTTGAAAGTTAAGCTTGTATTGTCTTCACTTCTGACATCATTCAGATACAGGGCATTTAAAGAGAAAGCGTTCATAGGATTAAGTAGGACATTTAAATAAATATTATGCAAAATATATGTAATAAACATAAAGAAAATTATCTTTTCGAAGATGAAACAAATTAAGTTATGCTCGACATTCAAATCGAGAATTGTTTCTATCTATAAAATAATCAAAATTACGAGGTATGTTAATTAAACATCTTTCACTTAGTGAATACGCTCTCCAAAAAACCATGAACTTTTCTTTTTTAAACTGCCCGTATAAATCATAGAATTTATGTTCACATATAAGTATCATAACATATTGTACAAAGTCATACGTAAATTTGTTTAAATAATGAGAAACGATAGTTTTATAATAAACTAAAATTTAATTTTAGAACACATGTTATGGGCATTTTTTGGCTTTGTATACATAATGGACATGAATTCTTCGTATCTGAATTTAAGTCAATTCTTCAATTATACTGATATTTTCAAAGATCTCTTATTTGCCATAGACGTGATATTTCCTATGGGACAATTCTCTGTGAGACGCGTGGATAAAGAATATGTATATACAATTTTTTCGTTGTCTATGATACTTAAATGATATAAAAGCGGAAGTAAGGCACAGTGCCGTAAATTGTTGCGCACAGAAAGTCTCGTGAGGATAGTTACGTGAGAAATATCACAAAATATATATAATATATATAAATATATAAATATATAATAATTCTCCATTACTTCATTGAGGGAGGTGTAGCGAAGTATATTACGATATTGCATATCATGGGGAACCGATATATCAGTGTGGAGACCTTCATTCATTACGGACAAATATCTAAACAAATATGCAGAAAGTATTATCTTTTGCCGGAATCACCAGAGTCTAAGAGAATAAATCGCGACTACGTGATATACGTTAGAGAAATGAATTTTGGCATAGAAATTTTAACCATATATTCGATGAGTAACACAGAGCGGTATGAATATAATATATGGGATCAAACAAGATGTGTTATATATTGGGTGGCTGAAACTTATCTAGTCATTACGCTAAGAATAAGATAAATATATATATATAAATATAAATAAAGAAAAGTATATATATATATATATATACATAATAAATTAATACTCAGTCATCGCAAGCCACCCTGACTGAATGTGTCTAGCCACATTTTAATAATGACATCTGCAATTCTTATACTATCAACCTGGCCTTGTGTGGTCATTATTTGTATGTTCGTTAGAGATGAAATCTAATATTATTAAATCATTATTATATAGTCTTCTCGTTCGTTGATTTAAATTTTATATTAAAAAAACAATAGATTTTTTTTTATCTTAATAATTTAAAGGCATATAAGTTATCAAAGTATGGCTTATTAAAGTATTTACGAGCTTAAATTAACTCTTACCCTACTAGGTACAATTTGGTGCCTCATCCATATTAACGGGGGCACTAGAATCCGTCCGTTTTTTTTCACCTATTCAGAATGATTCAAAAAATTTCTAAAAATTCACCAACACATTTTCAACTTTCTAGAATAAATATTGGCACTTTATTTTGGAAAATAATAAAATGTAGTATAATTTATAATTACCGAAAGATGCAAAGAAACTTGTACGAACAGGAATTGCTCGGTAACTAATGACCCCCCCTTAGTAGCGTAAGAGTTAATGTAGGCATCATTTGATATTATTTTTTGATATTCTATTAATCTTCTTCACTCTAAATTTGTTTTCTATAGAATTCTTTTTAGATTTTCTACGATTGTTGGTAAATTATATTATATATGAACGAATGCGAAGAGAGGTCTAGTAAACTTGTTCCGTTTATAAATTTAAATAAGCATACAGTTTGTTGAAATAAGATTTCGTCGGGTAATTATTTCCAAGCGTTACAAGACATTTGCGTCAACACTCGTTCTTTTTAACGAGGATATTAGCAAATATCTAATTTATGAAATATTTCGCTGATGACAAAGCATGTTTTGCATCATCGAACCTTACAAAATGAAAAATGATGATCGTGCAAAGTCAGTATGAATGATAGAAAAAAATTCCAAAATTGCAGTCAGAATCAGAATCGTTATAAAGTAATTGAGAGAAAGAACCCAGCCATTCATGATAAATAAAAATAATTATATCTTACACACATATATAGAGCTTGCGCTGTAGCTTCACCAGTCATGAAACATGCTACAAGATATCATGACTGTCTTTATCAATGTTTGTGAGTGTATAATAAGTTATAAACTATAAGTGAGCTATTGAATGTGTATATGGTATATGCTAGTCCATATTAAGATACAATAAAATGTAATTTTGAATTCAAATTCAGACGCAGTTGTCTGTTACTTTGAAGTAAGTACGATGCATCGGTGAAAACGATATAGCTTTTTCTCGATTTTTCTTTTCTCTCTTAAAGGCTTTATTTCTTCAAAATATTCCACATGACATGTGAAGCAATGAGGTATATACATCATGAAGCGTTCATAAAAGCGGTCTAAAATTATCTAAACTATTAATATCGTGAAAAGTAGAAGCACCGATAAGCCACTCCTTTCCTTCTAAAATCTCCTAACGAGATTCTTTATATCCATTTTAGCACCGAGTTAATGTTGACAAGGACGTTAATACATCTTGTAACAGGAATATAAAATGACACTATTTAAGCCTATATGTATGCTTATAAAAAAGAAGTCAGTTTTTTAATCATTTTTCTTCGGTTAGTACTTTATCGTTGTATTATATAGCTTCCATGTTCTATTACTAATCAGTAATATAGAAGTTTAATTAAAATGAAATTTTACCTTGTAAATTTTATCGTGTATGTTAATATATTTTAGTAAAGCAATAATTAAACAAACATAAAAGAGAGCATTAACATACATGAAATACGTGATTAATTGCTCAATCAAATGTACATACAGTGGTATTTAATTTTTTTTACTCTTAATTAGTGATTTATGTACGTTAATTATTCCACGATAGCTTTTGGAAAAAATTTACCGTACCGCACTGGCACAACGTGATACAATAGAATAATTATTTTATATATCCCAAACTCTTAATAATAATTTCTTTATTATTGCAGATTATCTACAATTGTTTTAACCTATTCCCGTGTCCTTAAATTACAAAACCTCTCTGTTGTAATAATTATTAAAAAAAAAAAGTATCATTAATGCAATATCCCCATTTTATGTATGCTCATATACTAACTGGTTGTACTTTTTTTCACATTAGATACAATTACGTTAACTGCAACGTACGTTAGGTATAAACCACTGACATTTTTATTAAGCCGATTATATCAATATTAATATTAATTTATTGAGCCAATGCATTATGATAATTATGTTAGATATTTCTATTAATATATATACTATATTCCTTTGCCACCGTTTTGTTACAAAGATATTGTTCCTACTATTTCTCTATTCATTTAATTACATGG